CTCTCAGCCTTTCCTCATAGGAGAGGTGCTCCAGCCCTCTGACCATTCTTGTGGCCCTCCTCTGGACTCGCTCCAACAGGTCCATGTCCTTCTTATGTTGGGGGTCCCAGAGCTGAACACAGTACTGCAGGTGGGGTCTCATGAGAGTGGAGTTGAGGGGCAGAATCACCTCCCTTGACCTGCTGGTCACAAAAAACAAAGCGAGTAAAGATGTTAAAAATCCTTTGTGGGTGGTAGGATTAGCCCTGTGGTGTGAATTACTGCTGCTGCCCTAAGCCTAACCAAGTAAAAGCAATTATGAAAAGTGGCAGATTTGCAGCTGATGAAGATCATCACAGTTTAACTAAAGTCCAGGGAGCAAGGACGAGCAGTTTTAGCAGCTGGGGCTCTACCACCTCAGAGCAGGGACTTGAGTTCAGGGGTTGCTGAGATCAGTTCAGAGTCCCTCCACAAAGAGCACTGTTAAGGGGTAAATCACTGAAGGGCTGAAATCAAATGACTCCTTCACGCTAGAATAAGTCTCAAAAAAAAAGGTGTGATCATATTGGGAAGTTGCTACATGCTAGGTAGTTTCTGGGTTATTGTGTGGGACAAGTTCTCCAGGATCCCAGCTCTTTCTATATAAGAAGAGTGGGTTACGTAAAGCTGCACCGAGCGTGGCACACACCTACGCCGCGAGTGCACCACGGTCACTGCGTCGCGTGGAGACGCCATCCAGACATGAGCTCCCCAAATATACCCGCTATTCTCCGCAAGGCTCATTATGGACTGCTAATGTATGCAGCCGTGCTTGGAAACGGAGTTCACTGTCAGCAGAGATGGCAGAGCCTTGGGTTTTCTGGGTGCTTTAGATGCGTCTTTCACTTCCAGAAGTTAGCTGAGGAGATTTTAAAAGTTTTCGAAGCTGAGTTACACCAGACACGGAGTCCTCTGCACGCTGGTTGGATTTGCGGTTGTTTTATTCTTTTCCACCCATGCGCCAGTATTCTTAAATTAGCACTTTTCCTCCTTCTCGTGTTTCTCTTTTTCCCTTCCGCGGCTCTTTTTTAATTCTCCTCACCCCCACTGCCCCTTCTTCGCCCTCCCCTGAGATCTGACGCTCCTCTCCAGCCCCACCAGCTTCCTCACTCCCTTGACGCCTGTTCCTAATCTGAACCCCCAAGACCCACACACTGCCCCCGGCTGAAACCTTCCCTCAAGCCCCCC